GATTCATCTCACTAGACAAGCAGATTAGCAGAACGAACACCGCCTTGTTTCATACCATGTGATTTAATCCCAATGACATCTTGTACTGAAGAGACAGGGGAACAGCTCAGAATTACAGTAATCCCACCCCATTTCTCAAGACTAGAGTCGAATCAGGAAATTCCTGACACAAGGTTTATAATAGAAGTAACAGAATATTCATTGGCCTAATTTTCCTGCCTATGCAGCAGAGATTTGTTGGCCACTGCAGTCCTTGCCATGAACAAAAGATGTACAATATAAATCCAAAGTAGTGAACTGTTCAAGCCGAAGTGTCAATGCAATTATTTTCCAGGCTGCATACAGTTTAAGAATGATTTTATGAGATGACTTTCATCCAAAACAAATCGCAGGATTAAATCAACATGAAATGATCAATTCTTACAATATTGACATGAAGTGTGACCTTTGTGTATGCTGCTGATCCATCTTGTTAGCAAATTCTGTTCTTCTATTTTATAGATAATTCCAAAATTGGCATGTGAACTAGTTGAATCAACTTAAAAACAAATACAAAGAAAACAGCCCCTAAATCTTTAAAAATGTACACGAATTAAAAAAAAGGTTACAGGTGATCCCCGGTCCGACGGAGAAAAACAGAGCAAAGGTGTTAAAAAAGCATTCTAAGTAGAATACCTCATAGTATGAAAAGAATGACCCATCTGGATTTATTGAAATCAAGCTGGGAGTCACCTGAAGCTACTTTTCATTATTTAGAAAAAGGAATTCAGCAGATATGCATGCCTCACCCACAGCACACTGAAAAGATTTCCTATCATGTCACATATGTGGTTATCATTCTGAACAGACAGCATTTAATGTACATATGAATGAGAAATGAATCACTTTGATTATTATCCAGTACCAATTCAACTAATGCATTTCAAGTTCAAACCATGCACACATTCAGCTGAAAAATCTAGAGTTAAATGTGATGTAGGCAAGTGTTTAAGCCAGCATTTTAATTAACCCATCTGGCCTTATGCATGTTTACTTTAAATAAGCCTTTCTTAATTCAATGGGATTCACTCCAGATAAATGTTCATAATTCATACGTCACTGAATTTCAAGAAACAAATATTCTTATCATTACTTCAAAATGCTCCCATGTGTCCTCTAAGTATATGTCCAGATGAACCAAAACTTTTCCAAAGGGCAAATTATATACTGTATTTCAGCAACAAGAATTGCTACTTTTAAGGGGGGGGGGGGCGGCTATAAGCAACCATCCAAGTTAAAAGTTGCAGACTTTTTTTTAAACATATAATGACCAGCCAGACTATTTTGCCACATTATTTGGCACAAGTCTACGAACATAGTATCTTATTGTCAGTGCTAAGCCATTGACAAACTTTTTCAACAGGAAGAATGAAGAAAAATGTTAGAATTTTCATTATATAACAAAATAATATCTTTGCATGTATGTATGTATGTGTGCATGTGTGTATATAAATTACAAGCATTGTTTTGTACCTAAGAATCTCATTAAGATGTCTTGTTCGTAAACCTCAATTAACAATTAAATTTTAAACTTGAATCAAAATATGGAATACATTTTACATTCCACTATACCAAGTATAAAGGCTATATTTTCCAATCTAAATAAAAAATAAAGTATGAGGCATGCAAAATCTAAAGTAGCTACACGGTTATACCAATAAAGTTGATCAAAGCATTAATTATATTTCCATGAAAACATAAAACTTAATTGCAGCTTACTATTTAGGATAATATATTCCTGTTCCAACCTTGACTTCCTATGCAGTAAATGTGAATATTTTCCACTACATAAGTATATGAGTCCTTATCATTTTAGGAAAAGGTGTTATTCTCATAAAAACACTACACTTTTCATAATTTCTGGTATTAGAATTGGAATACTGCATTAAACACAAAGGGGCAAAACAACTATTGACAGCTATGATTGAGGCAGACCCTAATTTCTAAAAAGCATTCTGCATCTTGCAGCACTTTGCTCTTATAGACATGTTCAAATTACCAAGGTTTCTGGCACAAAATGCTCCCTTGATTTTTCTTCTCACCATTCCAAAAGAGATTTGGTCATTATTCTTCATCCATTTATGAGGGACTGGAAAACATTTGCTCCCTCTCATATTCCCCACACTATAATTCCCATTCATGCAAATTTTATCAAGTCAACCTCTTAATGCATTTCCCCAGATCCTGATATTTCAGCTTACCTCGAAGCCAACATTTCACAATAGATCAAAACATGGTTTATCGTTCTTCAAAGTTGGAATAAACATCATGATGCTTTTCATAATAATTCAGCTATAGATCCTCTCCTCATTGGTCTCATAAACTTGGGAGTGGCTACCTACTTTTTCTATTTTCATCTTCTGCTTGTGTCACATACAATATTTTCCTTTTTTTAAACTTACACAATTACCTCCAGACCTTTATCTATCTTAACTTCCCCAATCAGTTGTATCCCTACTAAAATATTCAGGGTCAGATCCAAAATATCTACAATGTATTTTTTCTTCAGTACTATCTATCATCTAAATCTTATTTTATTTCACCTATATCACAATTCAATCTATTCCAAAGCACATCCTTATAATTCCTTTTACATGAATTATCTTAGCCATCATTTTAGGTTTTCTTCTATGCTGCTCCAAGCTACTAAGAACAGACTTGTAATTAAGTAAATGTCTATTCTTATACATCTATCCCAATTATAGGACACCTGACCACACTTAAAACTATAGGGCAATTCTATTGTAGGACTGGAGATTTTCAGTATAACAAGAATATTTGCCTACTTATTACCAAGAACCAACAAAATCACAGCCTTCTAAATTAACACAGTTTCTACTTCAGAAATCACAGCCTTCATTTCAAACCGAAGCTTTTATAATACAAATAGGTTCCTCTAAAATGAACAAAATATAAATAATAAAACTGCTTTAATCTATGGAGGGCATCTGGCTTTAAACTTTTCCCTTATCAATAGTAGGCTATAGTTAGCATCTGCAATGGGTATTTTTATTGAAATCAATAAATCTTTAAAAGCTGCCATTCTTAAAGACAGGCATTTTATTAGCTAAATATGCTTAAATTACACATTTGAAAGCACCGGTATAATCAATGTGTATGTGGTTAATACACCTTGATTGGATTAAAAGAGATCTCATACATACCCAAAGTTCTTCAAATGAAGGGATCCATTTTCACTACACAGTACAACAAAAACAAAACCCTGCAATAATCCTTAACAGATTTGCAAGAGACCACAGAATATACATAGGCTTCTCAATAGGGAGAAACACGGTCTTTCTGCTCTTGCAAGAAGTGACTTGTGAATTCTCCATAGTTCAGTGTATCAATAATTTACTACTATCTACCTTGTTAAGCGAAGTCATTTTAATGCATGGCTTCTTATTATAAAGGCCAGGAAGAGAAGAACTGACAAAGGCTGAGCCCCAGGAGGGAAGCGAAACAAAAATATTTCAAAAGATAATGGAAGGGAGAGGGTTTGAAGAAGATAAAGAGCCATTTGGGCACAGACCCCTGCTGCTTCCATAGAAGTGTCTCCTTTTCAATCTCGGAAGCTTTAAAAACTGCCTTTGCCACTGACTACTCGCGTTTGCAGGGTGTTGGGGATCCAATTTCACCTTTTGTCCTGGGAGCTGGCCCTTGGTGACAGTAACACAGCTATTAGCCTCCTTTGCAGCAAGGACAATACTCAAACTGTCATTAATATGCAACCACAAAGGCAGGGATAGACCATAATTACCAATCATCTGGCTCCCTCTAAACTGGAGCAAATTATCCAGGGTCAGGAAATGAGTTTTTGCAGGAAAGAAATGAACTTGTTAACTTGGCTTCTTAAATTAGGAAAATAAATTATGCTATCTGAAGCCTATTTCCATTTATAATCCTGACGTTTTATACCTACCTCCCCCTTTTTGCTATCTCAAATCTTTCTCTTTTTTTGCCTCTCAAATCTGTTGCTGGTTCTGAAGTATGCGTAGTGTGCACCCTGAGAATATTTTTCCAAAACAAGGCCTTCCTTTCCCACCTCTTTATCAGCCACCATAAAGTGCCCAATTTAAGCCATACTTAAAATAATTAAGCATTTGCAAAGCAAAAGAGAAATTGCAAACATAGCCATGATTTAGTCCCAATAAACACGTCGATAAAATATCCGAGTACCGAGGCAGAGTTTTAATGCTTTTCATTAACTTTTTTTTGTTGAAGAAAACTTGATCCACAGAACGGTTTTCAGGAGAAAGCAGCACTAAACAATGAAGCCGCGTTCCGGTTTTTGGTTTCACGCTTCGTTAAACCTTCAGTTATTTATGACAACTGAGTGTTTTCCAATCAGCCGAAACTAGGTACGTGCAAAAGGATTCGGATTTCCGTCTAATCTTTTCAAGATAGCATATTTTTACTGGATCTTTGAAGGCAGAGCGCAAGTATGCAGAATGCCCAGTTGCAAGCTCCTCTCCCTTGCCTCCCACCCCCGAAAGTATCTCTGCCCAGGAGGCAGCAGGCTAAAAATCCAGGAGATCGTGTTTCAGCGTTCATCGATGCTCTCATATGAAAGGGTACGGGAGGCTGCCCGGATCAGAAGTCAGTAAGCGGTCGTGAGAAAACGCACGTTCTGGTCACGGAGAAACTTTCCTTTGCCCTCTTTCCCCCCCACCCCCACCCCGTCTCAACGAAGGATGGGGAGAACCTCCGGCCAAGAGATTCCCTCTGGTTCCTTATAAATTGAGGCCCCGAAACTGCTCTTCCATCAGGGCATTTTTAAGAAGAGAAAAGACGGAGGATCTGGAGAAGCATCAACACTAAACGAGGGAAGGGGAAAAGGAAGAGCGAAGTAGATGGAGGGGAGGAAAACCAGGAAAGCGGGGGAAAGGAGAGGAAAAAGGAAAGAAGGAATAAAGGAAATAAAACGAGAACAGTCAGGGCAAATAGGAAATATTACCTACCTGCACAGTAACGACGCCCAACTCCTCGGCGGCTAGTTTTCTCATCTGAATGGCCAAAACTTGCGCTTCATCCAGAATGGAAAACTCCGAGTCGGCGGTGCCGAGCCTCCAAAAAAGTGCCATGCAGACGAACCACAGGGGCCGCTGTACTCCGCCGTCCCTTCTCCGGGGGAGAACCGAGCCGTCGGAGAAGCAGGGAGTTGATCGGGCGGCCTCCTCCGACCCGGCTGGCCTGCTCGCCATGATGCTGGCGACGGCGGCGGCTGCTTTCCTGCCCCCGAGCGCGGCGCACAAACTTTCCCCGACGCTTCCCAAACTTCGGTGCGGGGCTGAGGGCGGGCGGCAGGCAGAGAGGGAGGAGTAAGGAGGCTGCTACGCCTCGGGGCTCCGGGGAGAGGCGGCCGCAAGCTCCATGCGGAGGCCGCCAATCACGAGCCCCCAGCGCGCCCGCTTCCAAGGGAACGGCTCGGCTACTTCGGAGCGAGCGCCCGGGAAGCTTCCTCGCCGAGAGACGGGCAGAGGGACGCTTGCGCGCGCTCTCGCCTCAACCCGCTCGCGCTGCGTGCGGGGGGACTGGGAGCTCCGCTTCGGCTGCCGATTGAAAACAGCGCTGGGCTGCGGAGAGCTGCAAACTCCGGAGCTGAAAGAGGCTGAGGAGCGGCAGGGCCGGGATTGGAGTCAGCCAGGGGGGAAAGGGAGGCGTCTGGTGCCACCAAGCTGCGCGTCGGCTCTTCTGCACAACAATGCCTGGATTCGGAACGGCGAGGCCGGGGCAGCCTCGCGCGCTTGCTTCTCTCCCCCTCACGGCTTTCGGAAACTTTTTCCCTTTCACTCAGCCGGCGGTTTGCAGAACCGCGTCTTAAAAGCGCCCCTCACCTGTTGAACCGAACATTTAACACCCTCCTTTGGGGAAGTTTTCTTCAAGTTTCCCCCCCCCCCACACACACACACCTCCCCTTGCTCCGCCCAGGACGAGAGTTAGGATTTCATTCGGGCATTTGATGAAGTGAATTCTAGGGCGGCCGCAGTGTTGGCCTGTGCAGCAAAGCCCTCAAGGATTTTGTTCACACTTTTCACGGCTGGGGAAGCGGATTGTCTCGCACTATAAACTTCTGCGGGGTACCGTCCGTCAAATCCATGCAACCATGGTGATGTTCACACAGGCGGTACCCATGTCAGCCAACGTTTTGTGCAAGATCGGTCTCTGTGGTCAGTTGATGGCTCAGGATGTGGTGTCTGTTCAGTACCTGGTGGTTAAAATGGTTAAGTGTGTTTGTGGGGTGTACACAGTTTTAAAACAGTGAGATGAGAGATAAAGTAAAATTAGTGAGTCAATAAGTAAACAAATGAGAAGCCAGAGGGAAACGAAATGCATAAGTTGCAGACAGTGATAATTACCTATGGTTAGTGACTACTTCCAAAACAGCTGGTAGGTCACAGCCATTATAGTTGTAAAACACGTATTATTGCATTATTACCTGATTAACTCGGGAACATTATTTAAAACATTGTTTAATCAATCAGGTTAAGCCTTCTAATAAAGTGTATGAAAATAAGTGCTTTAATAAAATGATAATCCTTAAGGTACTGCAAAGTTAGGAAAAAAAACCTGTTGCTCACTAATGGCTCCTCTAGTTTTTCCCAAGAGAAAAAAATGCTAAGAGAATGAGTTTACTCATAAGTGTCTGGGTTCACAGTAGTTTCCTTCCTATCAATTAATGTAGTAGTAGCAAGAATAAAGGAGTTACCTGAGACAGCAGACACCAGGTAGAAAGGACTATTTTTAAGCATACTGAAATGGGATGAGGTAATTTGGTGAATGCCGACTCCATGGAATGCTATTATCTCAGTGTATAATGAAACAAGAGGTAGAGAAAGGCCAACTGTCTCTGCATTGATAGAAGAGAATATTTGTAGCTGCAGGTTGAATAGGTCCCTTGGTGGTTTTCTTGCAGACATTTCATTACCAAACTAGGTTACATCATCAGTGTACTTAGTTCAGGGAGTGCCAAGGATGCCACTGTCTTTTTATTAGAGATATAGAAAGTCAATCACTGAAACCATCCTTGGCAGTGTAACATGGAAGGAAGGTTGGGATTTCTTTTGTAGATTTCTCTTAGGTTGCTAAGGAGAGCTTTGGGCAGAAAAGTGGATAACTGCTGTATTATGCTCTGACTCCAATAGAGAGTTTGATCAAAATCTTCAATCAATTTATAAAAAGCAACATTCACCCACTACTGCTTGAGAGAGAACCCCTTCTTTCACATAGAAAATCCAACCTAGTGTGGGTCCCAATTGCCCTGCCAACATTATTAGCATCATAACTCAGAACAGGTGAGTTGATGAATGACATCAGAATGTCTAAAGCAGAAAAGTCGCAGATAATGTTTAATAACAGCAATATAATATCCCAATCAACATGGCCAGTTTTGAGGGATCCTGGGAGTTGTAATTAGAAATAACTGGACGACCACAGATACTAAACTCATGCCTTCAAGTGGTATCTTAATAATATATCAATGAACCCATGAGCATGATGGGTTATTTATACCATTTATACCTCTAAATAAATGTATATTTAACTGCACATTTCTTTTAAGAAGGTGGATGTTGCCAAATGTTATAGTCTGCTTCTGAGAAAACATGGACAAACTCCAGCAAGGAAATAAAGGAATATGGGTAAAAGTCTAACTGATTTAGCTCTTCTCACTAATATCCTCTATCCTGGGACATCCATCTTCAAAATTACCTGAATGTGGTAAATAGGAAGAAAAAAACAACAAAATCCTTCTAACTTTTCAGAGGAAAAGCACTTGTTTAGGAAGTAAAAAATAGATATTTCTTATAATGCAGACCTAAAGATCCATTGCCTTTTTGCTATAAATACTTAATTCATAGAATTAGGAAAGAAAATCACAAGAACGTTAATAGAGGACAGTAGTAAATAGAATGAATTCTTCTGCATGTAATGTTTTAGTAATATTCTTTCCAAACTATTATATATTTATATTATATTTTCTTCTGCTCAATTGCACCTAATTCTCACAAACTGCCTGGACAGGTCCTGCAGTTTTCATGGAAATGCTTTTCAGAAGTGGTTTGCCATTGCTTCCTTTCTAGGGCTGAGAGAAAGGGACTGGTCCAAAATCACCCAGCTGTCTTTGTGACTGGAGCAGTATTAGAACTCACAGACTCCCATTTCTAAACAAATGCCTTAACCAAATGGGCTCTCTTCCTGATTATAATTACTTTGTTGTATTATTGTAATTATCTTGCGTTAATGTTGAGCAACTCTGCCAATATATCCATCAAAGTTTCCTGAATTTCTTTGCTGACAGAGTTGTTCCAATTCTTGCAATCCAGATCTAGCAACTCCAACTTTTCTGAACAACCTGTTCAGCCTTCCTGCAAGTAAGCTTAAAGTAGTATTCCCAATATTCTGTGTACAAATATGCTTACACCAACATTTTCCAGAATTCCTAGCCTGCGTCGTATTCCCAATTCTAGAAACTGAGAAAGGAAACTTGCCTATGGCTTTACAGGCGAGAGCATTTTTTCCAATAAACATGCACAGCTAAACTTTTTTTTCCACATGCAAACCACAGAGTTATGTAATTTCTAAGTATAGTCTTTTGAATTACAACATATCTGGGATATTCCATTGTACAGTTAGAGGCTGAATGATTAAATTAGAACCACTAGCACTATAGTTTCAAACATGCTTATTCAGACGTAAGTATAATGAGATTTACTCCCAAGAAAGAGTTTGCATAGATAGGATTATGTTCTGATTCCAGCTACTACAAGCAATTCAGTTCTCACTACCAGCCATTCATATTCTCAAGATAATTTCCCATATTTTGGGTATTGGATGTCAGTCTACATTAGTCAAGAACAAGAGTTTATATCACTTTTTTAGACTAACAAATGTTATCAGTAACCTTAAGTTTTCATAAACTGCTGCTCACTTCCTGCAATTGATGAAGTGAGCTGTAACTCATCAAAATGTCTAGCTTTTAATAAAAATATGTTAGTCTGAAAAAGTGCTTTCAAAGTTTTGGTTTTTTTTTTTACTTTGGATTTCCACATTTTGGTTTCCACCAGGATTGTTAAACCTCCTAGCCCATCTAAAAGTCAGTCAGTTGGGGAAGATCAGTTTAGGGTTTCATACTCTTTTATTTTTAAGCATAGTTTTTAGGAAACTATTAGAATAATCTTGAGCTGTTATTCCATAGATAAGAGATTAACTTCACACATCATGCTAAGCAGTTATATATTTTGCCTTTAACTGAACAAAACTTAATGGGAATTCACAGAATGTGCTAAGACCAAAAAAAAAAAAAACGTTAGGGAAGAATTCTCTATTCTGCAATTTCAATTGATTGATTAATTCAATTCATTACAAAAGAATCATTTGGCGACTTCAGTAGAGGATGACTATAAGAACCTGCTTATTCTGGAGCATCAGACAGAGAACTGACTCACTAGCCACTTTGCTCAAGTATGAAGACATAAACTATCTTCACACTTAAAAAACCCTCATAGTTGACAGAACCACAACTTATAGAATTTGTTAATACTTTGAATCCATGCAATACACTGAGCGAGAACCAAGCCAACTTTATTTTAGCCAAAATATTATGCACTTATGGTCTTCCAATCCAAGATTAACTTCAGGAAATGGGCAATTAACACCTTCCAGGAATCCAGGTAGATAGAGTAAGAGGAGTAAATTGGACACATTTGTTATCTGACATTGCTCAGCAAGGAGACTTGCATGACAAAACAGCTGTCAACTCAAGATACTATCATAGGCCAAAAACTAAGTCTCAGGAATGTGATATAAGTTCTTTTGTGCCGGATAAAATACTTGTCCTTTCCAAGGTAGAATTGTTATTCTGTGCAGTTGAGAAACAAAAGTTATTATTCCTATTTGGATTACAGTAGAAACACACTAATGTTACATTAATGCATTTATTTTACTTACTCTTTTGATTAATTCATTGATTTGATTTTTTTTAATAACACATTTTATTTATTTCAAAGATAAGGTATTTTTTAAAAATGACAAGACCAAAAAGACAAAAAAGACAAAAAATTATAAACAAGACAAAAAGAAAAAGTAATATTAAAAAAGTGCAGACTATATATGAAATCAACATTAAACATACATCATCCACCCTAGCTGAATGTTGACAAATATGTCTCAAATCTAGAAAAAATTTCCCCCTTGCACAATGGATCTACAAATACTTATAATCTTTCTCATCTATTCTTCCTATGTTTACTATGCTGCTATTTTACATCACAATTCTTTAAAAATATTTCAAATCTAGGAATCTAGTATCTATCAATCCTTGATTTGATTCTTGTTACATGCATTATTGCTATCTGATTCTGTATTTCATCTGCTTCCTCATTTCTCTACAGTCATGCAATCTTTAAACTTCATTAAAATAACAACAATGTAAAGTGATAATAAATTCCTTCCTTCTCCAGTAAATAAGATTACCAGTCTTGCTCT